ATCTGCGGTTTCGATTTGCTCGACTTACAAAGTTGAACTTCCCTATTCGAATATTCTTCACAAATAGATACAAAACATTCTTGTGCAAAAATTACATTTATAAACACGTTTTTATTCAAATCCCCAATCATTGTTTGAAAAAGCTCTCTTTTTTTCTTTCACTGTAAAATCGTATACTGTAAAATATATTACATAAAGCTATTTATATTATTTTTGATCAAGAAGTCGAACATTTTCAAACAAAAAATGTTGTCTTATGTTATTTATATGTTTAGATTGTTTATCTTTCCAAATAAAAATAAATATATTTAAATATACATTACGCACACAATGATACTTGTTCACAAAATAAATAATAAATTTACACAAAAGAAATATTCGTTTAGATTTTCTAAATAGAAATACAGAATCTACAGAAATTAATTTTTAAGCCTTTTAAATAACCTATGGTCACACGAGCATTTACTTTTAATATATAAAAAAATATACATGATTTCAAGGTGTTTACTTTCTATAATAAGATAACGATTGGAGAGGATCCATTATTCTTCGATGGAAAAAATAAATTAAAGTCTTTTATATATTTACGATCTAGATTGAGGTTCACGAAAATATTAAAGAACGAGAGACCGGTAGTCTTAAGGTCGAGATAAAATCCGAACGTTGAAATATTGCCTTATTAATGCCGACTACTTTATTAACGTCAAGTGTTCACGCGTGCACAGTTGATCAAGGTGGTAATCAGTATCCCCCAATAAAATTATTTTCGCTCCACGAAACGTTGGCAGAGACCGCTTTACTTGTCGATAAAGAGCGGATTCTTCATAAGCCCGGCTAACCACATAACTTTCGTGCTGGCAGACAAGCAGAATAAAAGAAAATATAGGAGGTGATCGGCCTTTCCTCGAGGTGGAGTCATGCGAGCGGGGCTTGTAGACCTGGTTGTGAAGAAAAAGAGGAGAAGGGCAGCAGAGAAAGAGAAAAGGATCAAACGGACTTAAGGTAAAGAGTGTGTAAGAAAGAGAAGGAACGGAGAGCGAGAGAAAAAACAGAAAGAGAGAAAGAGAGAAAGCTTCGGAGAGGGAACCAACCGGGCAGACATAGCTCTCGAGTTTGCACGACGAGTTTATGCGATTTTTACACTCGATCTGATTTTTTGGCGGCGCCCCTCGCTCTCGTAAGACAGATATATATCCCATGGCTATACAAGAGCCGCGCGTATAAAGACATCGAAGCGAAGCCAACGAGAATTTCTCATCCCATTCCCTTTGCGTTTCTCTTCTCCCCTCGTCAGCCTCCTTCTTCTCGAGCCTCGTTGCCCCATCCCGTTTGCCACCATACTTGGTATACCCTTCTTTTCTACCAACCGCTTCCTTTCACCTCCTCCTTTTTCACCTCCTTCTACTCCGGGCCCAAGATGGGATACAAGAAGACGAAAAATCAAAGGGCCTCGCCCATAACCGGTTCAGTCTTTCTCTCGTCATCGTGCTTCTCTGACTCTCTCACGACTAACCACCAGTCTAGCAACATGCTGACCTGCTCTATATAGACTATATAGATAATCTGCTTCTCGGTCAATTGCACGTATTATTTCACATTTACTGTTCAAATGTTGAAATATTGATGATAACGCACGCGAAAAATGAAAATTAGTTGATTTATTATGTCGATTCAATTTACAAATATATCTGAACCTTAAGAGAAATTGTAATCTCCCTTTCTATACGTACGTATTAAATTACGATTATTAATATCTGTATACTTGTATTTTATTTTGATACAAATAATTACAGCGTCATTTTATACATTTCTGTATACAGAGAAAATCTATATATGTATAAAGATATTTTATATGATGCTCTATTTTTATATAATTCAATTCCTAAATATATTGCGTAAAATAATTTTAAATAAATCAATTTCTCATAAACAAAATTTAATATATTTCAACGATATTTTATTATTTTATAAATTGTTGTTGTTTTTAAAAGATGACCCTAAAGATTAATTTAATCCTATAATATATTATCTGTTCAATCAATTAAAACTAAATTAGTGTTTATACATTTCATGTTAAAATACAATCTATAGAAATGTATTTGAGTACAGCATATTTTGTCACATTTTCGTTAATTTATAACATTTCAAAAGTCTTAACAGTAACGAATACGTGAAAAAAAGTAAAATTGTTTATCGCTCAATAACCAAGAAGAAGAAAAAACTACAGGTAGAGGTAGGGCATAAGTATGCAAGTAAGTACAACGCGTATGGACCAACCTTCCTGCATACATAACCAACGACAAGTAAGAGTGCAAAAGCAAAGCCAAAGAGTTAAAAAGAAGAAGCGCATAGAACAGCGTCCACTCATCACGCGGCGTGCAGCCGGCCTTTACATAAGTGACCATGCCGCTTGGCGGTGAGAGCGAACGAACGCTTTTACAACTCAATGCTGGATATTGAAGACTTCTCATGGATCTCTTTCTCTCTTTCTCTTTCGTCTTTCTTTACCGTTGCATCATGTATTTTGCTCTAACTGCTCTAACTTAAAAGGATCACTTACGTAAATATACACACAAATGAAACAACATCTTTTCCGTTTCTGATTTTGTTGTTCGGGAGACATAATTATATGGATATAAAATAAGAAATATAATTCGATTAATCTGAGGATCTAATAAACTGTTTCACATCAAAAAATAAACAATTTCAATCGGATCAGAAAGCGAGTAAAAAAATTCAATTTGCTCAGAAATCCGACAAAATAAGAGGGAAAAAAATCAATAGCTTGCCGGAACAATATTATCTTGGTAGGTTCTTTAAATAGATTTCGAGGTATTCCGACACCAACCCTAAAAAGAAAAGATCGGAAACTCTTATCTCTCTGCATCCCTCGCGTATCTCCTATCCATTATACGTTTGCCCTGCCCCATCGATCCTTCTTCACCCGCTTAGCGAGTTCCAGACGAGTTTTCCTGTTTATATAAGGTAGCACGTTGCGATAATAAATTATTGTGCGAACAGACTTAGCTTTTAATGAGATAGAGATTTATATTTATCGAATAATACGCACGAATACTTCCATATGAAAAATTATTTAATTTCAAACAAAATTTGAAAATTAAAGTTTTCAATTATTACTTTTCCAATTTTTTTTTAAATTCAGTTACGTTTCCGACTTCTTAAATTTCAGTGAATACTTATTAAAAATAACAAAATAGTTTTTGCGTAAAAATATGTATAATACGACTGCACAAAACGTCTACATATATTAAAATATATTTTAGTTAATTTTGAATTAATTTTCCAAAGTGTCACACGCACACACACACTGGTAATTTTTAAGATACATGCGATTAGAAATAAAAATGTTTTTGCACACACTAGACTTTAGAGTTATTGCATGATTTGTATATTGAATAACAAGATAAAGTAATTCCGATATTTCTGCAAAAACATGCAAATTTTATTGCTGAAATATATTTTATTCTGTTTCAATTATTTTTTCACATTTACTTCAAGAATTTCTCTGCAGTTAATCACAATGCTTTATTTCTTAACACAATTTAAATCCAATCTAGCTGAATAAATATGGCGTGAATGAAAAACTCACGCTAATTACATAATATACATATATTTATCATAGTCGAAGAAGTGTGGATTTAAGATGAAGATACCTTGCATATATAAATTATCAAAATTAATTATTTATAAATAAGATATGAAAGTTCATGAGATTTCCAAATATATTGAGACGCGCCGAGATGATCCACGTGCAACTGCTTTTCGCGTGCATTACTTAATTATGTAAACAAAAGCCCGTTTTCAATTGATGCATCGTTATCAGAAAAAAATCAATTCCTGCGCATTACCATGAATCATAAACATGTCTACATGCTCGTGCTACTCCGATTTAAATAAAAAATAAAAATGCACCAAAACATCAAATTATACATTTTAATCTTGATAAATAAAAACGATTGATTCGCTTAGTTCGCGCAGTGTTAAGCTCACCAATATATTCAGGGGGAAACTATTTAATTGCGTAAGCACAGTCCGACCGCTGTGTTTACCTCGATTCCGCATGTCCAAATAAAACGGGTTTTCATTTACATTAAGAAATTTAAGAAAGCGCGGCGATAACTATGCAATTAAAATGCTGGAGCACGTATACAAATTGTGGACATAATCCACAGAAGAAAAAGTTAATGGTTGTTACTATATGAGATTACGTATGAAATGCAAATTGCGACATTATAATTTTTGCCATGAGTACTTCTGCTAAGCTTTTGCGCACCCGCACAATGCCTAATGCATAATGAAACCGCTTAAAATAATTTCAATTGCTCCATATTATACTACAAAAATGTTGAATTACAACAATTTTTTTCCGTGGACTAAATCAAGCGTGCTTTACGCAATCGTATTTCATGTTGCTAATTCAGCGATTTATTCGATTTTCGATCCAAATTTTGTCAACAATATATCTTCTGTTTCGCACTAATATAGAGACACTGGCTTCACACCGCACATATACACACATATATCCGCGCGAGTACATATGTAGGCATGAACCCTTTGATAAGATGGCTACAGCTGTTGCGTCTCGCGCAACAACCGGAAGGACGATCGAGCAATCGATGACTTACGTACCACTGTCGCTGTTCAATCGGTGACATCGCGTGCGAGACGGTAGTCGTCTAAAATCACCGTGGGAAACAGTGAGAAAATTAACACAGTTGAAGCCGCGACAGACATGACTCGTACAGCGGCACGACGGCCATATTGGACACAGCCCTCGCCACTCCCCGCGGTCTGCCGGTCACCCGTAGTCCCCGTCGCCGTGGCTGGCTGTCGCCGGTGACCGCGCGGGCGATCGCCCTGCCGCCTGTCGACGGCCGAAGGTTTTCACCGCATCGACCAAGCTCCCTGCTCCATCACGCCATCACGGTGCAGCCGCACACTCCCATCCCGCGGTACTCTCCCGTCGACTGGACGAGTCGCCATATTGGCATGGTGCGACATGCGCAGATTGGACGACTGGTCCGGGCCAACAAACGTCCGACGGATTACGCCTACGTCATCATGTGTCAATCATTCTGCACGGTTTAAAAACCTTATACAAAAGAGAACGCCGACAGTGTTCTTACAATACGGTGTGATCGCATACACGGTGAGTTATTTTTATAAAACACATTTGTCTATAAGACACTATCAGACATCGCGTCTTGGTCAATGCCGTGACGTGATGAGAGCGAGACGCAGACAGGGAGAGAGACCTGAGAGTGTGCGTGACTCCGAAAGTGTTGTGTCTCGCACCTTGTGATTTTCTTGATAAATCCGTCGTAATAATTTTCTTGCACGCGACTTTATTCAGCCTTTAAACTATATGAAATCTTTTGCACTCGCTTTGATATCAGCAAGAATTATTTTTGATATGTGTATCTGTCTCTGTAAAGTGTTTCTACACGTGTGACATGACGCCTGCGCGGTGCGCCACGGCCAGGCGTACAGGCGCACACATAATAGGGAGGATATGTGTAACTTGGTGGTAATCTCTGAGATGAAATTTCGTATTACAAGCAGTAACAATTACTTTCATATCTGCAGATCAGTTGTAGGATTATTCAGGCCGAAAAGAATTTCCAAAGAGCAAAAATAAATCTCGTTAATTTATATTAGCGTAACTTCACCGAGAGAGAGAAAACATTAGATTTAAAAATTAATAATAAATGTAAGGCTATTCAATAATGTTTTTATACAATATAAGCAATTTCAAAATAATTTGATATTATAACTTGATATACGTACATACATATATCATAAAAGTAATCATAAACAAATAAGAATAATTTATTTCCATAAGATTTAAATATTATACTTGAAAAAATATGTATATCTGTCAAAAATGTGATACCCAAATAAAGAAACATATGATATTTTCATCAGAATAAGTGTACACGTATAATCTTCATACAAAGATTTAGTGTATTTATAATTAAAACAAAAAATTCGCATATTTTTTTATATAAAACATTATAATGTATATAAAACATGTGTACTTGCACATGCGCATACATAATGTGTATGCACGTGCGTACACGTTACGTGTAATAAGTAAAGAAAAAAAATTATGACCATAAATTTTCTCTATTTTATTTGCCTGATTGTTATCGATGTAACACTATAATGTTTACAAGACAAGTTTGACGTGCCTTGAATCCGTCTATATAAATGTACACACTTTAAATTCCAAGAAGAAACAATGGTTTCTGCTAAGCTGACATTCCGTTAAGTATGCGTGAGATGCATTACGTAAGATTATTTGCAGACTCGAGTAAGCGGATTTCAACGAATAAATATCCTCACACAGTTGCAATGTTTTTTAACTATACAACTCCGTATAAATTTCTCCACGGAATTATCTAAGAATCTACTTTTCTAAAACATTTAATATTTCTATTCAACATTTTAATATGCACATATTTAAACTATTAATTGAATTATTAAATCATGCTTCTAAAATTAATTCTTAACATAATTCAAACAAAATTGATTTCAGCATGACATTATAAATCGTAAAACTCTTGAAAAATTGTCATACCTGATAAAGAATTGCTATTAAAAATGTGTGCTTGTTAAAGTTAATAAGCGATTATTTCTTTTTATTCTGCAGAAAATATTCCGATAAAACAAAAACTTTAACATTCGTAAATTTCTTGACACATACAGTTGAAGCATACAGTTAATATCTTTCAAATATTTAATGTGATAATTCAAACGTATCCCCAAGGATTGATACGTCGAGTCCATGTCGGAACATGTAGTGCGAAAATTCGAGCACCTGACTCGTCTTCGGAAACAACGGTTATGGCTTCACCGCGAACGGAACCCACCGGATAGTTTCGCGGGCGGAGCTAATTTACGTGAAGTCGGGCAATAAACATCGCGTCTCTCACTAGAGAATACCGCCGAACGTGCATATACACATATACATACCAACCTACGCGGTGAGGGAGCGAGTGAGAAAAGCGTCGAAGTGCGTTCGTGTGTATGAACGAGAACCATACGCACGTAGGGCGCAACAGTAGTCGTAGCGCTGGTTAATTAGGGTTTAAGTTTATGAGGTGCAGGGCGCACGCCCCACCCCTTCCCTCCCCCTACCTGCCCCATCTCTCTCCCAGCCTCTCTCCCCCACCGGAGCCGCCGCCGCAACCCCAACGTCTACCCATCCCCTACGCACTAACAGCAAACCACCACCAGCAGGAACAGTAGCGTCGCCCTTTGCATTTATCTGTACATTCACTGGCGCACAATCGCGCATATACATGTACGCCCGGGATATCAAACTTCACACGCGAGAGCAATAATAAATGTTGGACGTTCGCAGCTTTGCAGGTTTATCGCTGTTACCGCAGATTTACGTGGACTCACAATAAAAAAAGGATGAACGTTGGATGTATAGGGCAATGAAAAGATGGTGATTACAGTTTCCGCTCGCTTCCAATGGCACACGGAATGAAAAACCCGATACTCGCTGTTGTTCGAAGCACTCGTCGTCCGTTGCGAATATCTGGATATTAGAACGCGATAGAGTTTTCCGATCGAGCAGATGTATCTAACTGTATTTCGTATAGGTTAAAAAATATTATACAAGTTAAAATCAGGATTAATTATCTTGTGCAAAGATTTAATAAACATTATCATATAATATTTATTATTCTAATCTTACGATATATTCATGCCTCTTCTGCACACACAGAATTAAAGAATTATTCATAAAAGAAATGGAATTAATTATAAAATATTAATTATCTGCTAAATATTATAAAGGAATATATTATGATCATTTGTAAGACTTTTACCATCATCGTATTTCAACAAATTGTATTATGTATATGTGTAAATCGTATATGTGTAAATTAGAATAACTAAAATGGTTATGCTGATAATTACTGTTTATCAAATTTATATTATTTTGTATAATAATTACACGCACCTATCATATAATGTATTTGGAGATGATAAATCAGCATCAGATATTTTTACGTAAGATTTTTCATTCCCTCCATAACAAGGTTTCAATAATAAGTACATACAGTTAATTTTTCATTACTATTACGTTAATATTTCGTTAATATAAAGTAATCTTTGCAAAATTTATAAATTAAAATCTTTAAAAACAAAAGTAGATAATTTTTGATAAATATATACATAATGTTGGAATATTATTGGAACGCCGCTAACCATATCGACAAGCTGTTCCATTCGAAGCTCGCTAGTCGGGAGACGTATTTCGATTTCAAGACGCTGACTTCAGGAAATCTTTCCATTTTTCTTTTCTCTTCCAATTCCTACTCCTTCTTACTTCTGTTAAGTTAGCATTCCACTTTCAGAATTTTTATATACACAATTGGTCTGGCTCCTCCTCAAAAAAATTCCTTGTACGTTAATCATAGCTAATTCATAATTCAAACTGAAACCTTTTTATTTTTTAAATTTAAAAATAAAAAATCGTGAATTTGTCTGAAAATAGTGGTTCTGCGAAACACCGTCGCATTAATCACCGATTGTGTTATTTAGGAAGACGTGATGCATGGGATAACTATGTTGCCAGGTCAGAATCGCCATAAAGAACGCGGACTTGCTCGGATCCCCTTATCAATCTTCCTTAACCTAAGTTCGCGTGCTATGAATTAACGCTATCCGGTAGAAATCTCCTGTCGCAGGTTGGCCTCGTGCGAAATGTTGCTTCGCGTGTCGCTATATTACCACAGGCGGACAAAAAACCACACAAGATAAGACCTGAGAAGGAAACGTGAGTTTTAAGGGACGCGTAATATGCTCGATTTTCGAATATGTGTAATAACGTAAAAGAATCCTGCTGGAAAAACTCCAAGCAGTCCTCTTTCTCATGTGATCGTCGCGATAGTGTCTAACTACAGTTGCGACTCGATGTCAAGTATACATGTATATGCTGATGTATACACTTGCATGCGCGTGAACAGAATACATAAAAGCTGTCATAAATCTAGCCAAGTTATCCCTCAGTAACGCTTCTTTCACAAGACCCTGTGTTGGATAACTAGCAAAATCCTTGTTGTCTCGAATCTTTTTTTAAGAGATTTCCCTTCAGATCGTTTGCGGGAATAAGAAATTTTTTTCTTAATAATTTCTTATTAAAATTTACGTAAAATTTTAAGAAATCCAATTAACATCATTCTCATCATTTTAAATCTTCTACATCTTCTACTGTTATAACATTAATATTGTAAAAGAAAAAAATCATAATTTATAAAAAATTGTTTGTCAGCAGTTATTGTTAACATTTATTTTTAATGTAAATTAATAATTAGAAAGAATATATTTTTATGATTTTTATAACTCAAAAAATATTACGTGAACATTTTTCAGAATAAACAACATTGGTTCGAGAAAACGAGAAAATGAGCATGCAACACACTATACATAGAACGACGCTTCACTTATTATTAGGCATCCCAGAAGGGTAAAAAGGAAGATTGGAGATATATGTGTACATGCCTGTGGTACATAATATATATCCGACAACGTTGTGCAGCGTAATTAAATCATTCCGACGGTTTTGCAATTAAACTCGATTATTTGCTCGTCGCTAGCTCGTCCCACACCGACTGCGATTTAACTCTTTCAAGCCCCATATACCCACCCTTCGGCACGCTTCATACATACGAAGCAAAATAATCTTTGCGCTTAATTATATTGAGAGGGGGAGGTGATATTGGAATACATTCTTAGAAAGTGTAATTGTCTGAAAATTATATATACAATGTATAGTTAATTATAATAAAAATATTTTAAATTGTATCCCAATTGATTCAATTTTTCCTTTCTAATACTTATTCAAAGTGTCAATTAGATAATATTTCATTTCGATAAATTAAATACAATGTTTAATTCGTAGAATGAACAAAAAATTATACTTATAATACTATTAATATATAAATAATAAATTATCTTTAACTTCTTAAATATTATTTATTTGTTAAATGTTATGTAATTTCTTTAATTTCTTAGTTATTCTTCATTTGTTAGGAATTATATTCTTTCTGGGCAACGATACATGCATTCTAAAATGTATTATTTTAAAAGCAAAACTACGATAGTTGCCCGCCTCTCCCCTAGATTGCATTT